TCCATATATATATATATATACACACACACACATATATACACATACAGAGAGAGAGAGAGAGAGAGAGAGAGAATATGTGTATGTTTGAGATTTCAGCCTTTTAGACTTTCTACATACAACTTTATAAAATAAATGTCATTGTGTTCAATTGAATATATTCTTGCAAAAGGTGATATAACATCATACACTCAGTTTCTGTTAAAATGTATGGGTTTAAAATTATTCATTTGCATTATATGCATATTACCAACATTTAGGGTGCTGGTATACTTTTAAAAATATTTTGATTATTCGTTTTGGATTATCCCTTGTTAAATGTCATAATATTTTTAATCGATTGATTTGATGCTGCCCAACCCCAAATGACTCTGGGTTTATAATATTTATTTTTTACACCGAGCTAGAAATTTTTGCAATACAAACAAAATGAAACCATTTGTTAAACACTAAATCCACTTATTTAGTCATTCTTAATCCACAGTTGCCAGGAGTCAGGACTGACTTGAAAGTACAAAAACAAAATTGCTGTACCTGCAATTATCACATGTTGCCAGGTCAAAATGGTTCATGAGATACGAGTCCATGAATTCCTTCCCACATTCTTCACAGATCAGATAATCAAATTCTAATACTGGACCTATTAAAATAAGAACAGAAGCACAATAACAATTCAGGCTGTTAAATTTATCCAAAATAGTAAAGTAACAATAACAAGAAATACAAACACAAACACAAAATTAAGCTTTGGAATCTTGGAAATGACATTTCATTGTGTTTTATTGTCTATAAACCTTAAGAAAAAATAAGCACTGCTTATTGGAACTAATATGTTCTAACTAACTTGCTTTTCCAGGTTAGGCGAGCTGTGCTGTTGATGTGGTTTTATGATATGCTTTACCTTGGATAACATGGGTTATTGTTCTGTAACTTTGATTTCAATCATTGTATTCTGCCCAGAATCATTTTAAGGAAATTATTGACTTTATAGTGCAATTTTTTTCAGTTTGGTGAACTCTAGATGTGTTATCTCCATCCACACTTGCTTTAATTCTCAGTCAATTTTGGATTAAATTAGCAAATCTATATTCTTATGTAACCAATGTTGAACCTAGAATACTGCCTACATCAGTATGGACACACAGCTGTTCAGCAAAAACATAGGCTCTTTTCAATCAAAATTCCCTATGTATTGCTTATTCAGACACTTATCAAAATAAAGCACAAATTACCAGGGGGATACACAATTTTCCCAGTTTGGTGTCGATTTGTCTCTTCTTCTTCTTCCTCCTCCAGAAAAAACCCTCCTCCTGTATCTATTGTCTTTGAAGGTGCTTTAACTTTTGAACTGCCTGAAAAGATAAAATAACAATTTAGTTGTGCACCTGTACAAATAAAATGACTTTGTTTTGAAATGACTCTGTAACATTGATTATATAAACTACACTGCTCAAAAAAATAAAGGGAACACAAAAATAAGACATCCTGGATCTGAATGAATGAAATATTCTTATTAAATTCCTTGTTCATTACATAGTTGAATGTGCTGACAACAAAATCACACAAAAATTATCAATGGAAATCAAATTTAGCAACCCATGGAGGTCTGGATTTGAAGTTACACTCAAAGTGGAAAAAAACACCACAGGCTGATCCAACTTTGATGTAATGTCCTTAAAACAAGTCAAAATGAGGCTCAGTAGTGTGTGTGGCCTCCACATGCCTGTATGACCTCCCTACAACACCTAGGCATGCTCCTGATGAGGTGGCAGATGGTCTCCTGAGGGATCTCCTCCCACACCTGGACTAAAGCATCCCCCAACTCCTGGACAGTCTGTGGTGCAACGTGGCAGTGGTGGATGGAGCAAGACATGATGTTCCAGATGCGCTCAACTGGATTCAGGTCAGGGGAACGGGCAGGCCAGTCCACAGTATCAATGCCTTCGTCTTGTAGGAACTGCTGACACACTCCAGTCACATGAGGTCTAGCATTGTCTTGCATTAGGAGGAACCCAGGGCCAACTGCACCAGCATATGGTCTCACAAGGGGTTTGAGGATCTCACCTGGGTATCTAATGGCAGTCAGGCTACCTTTGGTGAGCACATGGAGGGCTGTGCGGCCCCCTAAAGAAATGCCACCTCACACCATTACTGACCCACTGCCAAACCGGTCATGCTGGAGGATGTTGCAGGCAGCAGAACGTTCTCCATGGCATCTCCAGACCCTGTCACGTCTGTCACATGTGCTCAGTGTGAACCTGCTTTCATCTGTGAAGAGCACAGGGCTCCAGTGGCGAATTTGCCAATCTTGGTGTTCTCTGGCAAATGCCAAACATCCTGCACGGTGTTGGGCTGTAAGCACAAACCCCACCTGTGGACGTCGGGCCCTCATACCACCCTCATGGAGTCTGTTTCTGACTGTTTGAGCAGCCACATGCACATTTGTGGCCAGCTGGAGGTCATTTTGCAGGGCTCTGGCAGTGCTCCTCCTGTCCCTCCTTGCACAAAGGCGGAGGTAGTGGTCCTGATGCTGGGTTGTTGCCCTCCTACGGCCTCCTCCACGTCTCCTGATGTACTGGCCTGTCTCCTGGTAGCGCCTCCATGCTCTGGACACTACGCTGACAGACACAGCAAACCTTCTTGCCACAGCTTGCATTGATGTGCCCTCCTGGATGAGCTGCACTACCTGAGCCACTTGTGTGGGTTGTAGACTCCGTCTCATGCTACCACTAGAGTGAAAGCACCTCCAGCATTCAAAAGTGACCAAACCCATCAGCCAGAAAGCACAGGAACTGAGAAGTGGTCTGTGGTCACCACCTGCAGAACCACTCCTTTATTGGGGATGTCTTGCAAACTGCCTATGCTTTCCACCTGTTGTCTATTCCATTTGCACAACAGCATGTGAAATTGATTGTCAATCAGTGTTGCTACCTAAGTGGACAGTTTGATTTCACAGAAGTGTGATTGAGTTGAGTTACATTGTGTTGTTTAAGTGTTCCCTTTATTTTTTTTGAGCAGTGTACTTTCAGACACTGAAGAGACTTCAACACTTTTAGACCACAGTCTAGAACAGGCCCGGGGGCCAGATCCGGCTCACAGGTGCTTAGATCTGGCCCGCGGGGTTGCCCTGGAAACAGCAAGGATTGACCCGCGGTGCCTCAGCCAGTGAAAACAGAGTTCAGGAGGGCCACACCTGGCCCTCCCGAGCACCATTTTCACTGGCAGAGCAGAGCGCTCAGGCCACCACAGGCCCCCCAACATGAGTGATGTCAAGCTGGCCACACCCACTATGACCACGCCCACTCCCCCCCCAGGTCAAATATAAACCTGATGCGACCCTCAATGAAATTGAGTTTGACACCCCTGGTCCAGAAAGATATACATTTACACAGGGGTGGGATCCGACCGATGTAACTACCAGTTTGGTGATTTATGATTTCCAGTTCTATGTCTGCTGCTCTTCAGAGCTACCGGTTCTACAGAGCCGGAGAGAACCGGTAGAATCTCGTATCCACCTCAAACTGTGATGTAACAGGTCTAATTTATAAAACAAATTGGGAAGATATGAGTGAGTCCATATATACATTAAGCCACTGTTTATGTAATTACACTTCACTGAATGAAGCACAGTTGGCTGGGTTGGCCCATCCTGCTAATAATATAATACCACTGGCTTAGTATTACCTAGCATTAAGCCAATGCAAACTTTTTCTTGAGATTTGAATAAAATATCCTTCAATGTAGTTTGTTCCACAAACATTCTTCCTTATTATGCATGAATGCAGGCTGCGATAAGTCCAATGAAAGGCCTAGTAAAGCAGAGAATATTATGGGACCCCATCTTAGCTTCTCTGTGCACTCACCACAAAAGAAGGTGGCGACCCTTTTTACAATAAGCTTGTTTAATTTCCCAGAACGTACAACTTATTAGGGAAAGTCTTAAGAACTTCCCTACATCACCTTCTTCATATGACTTCCTTGTAAAGCAGTGGCCCCCAACCTTTTTTGTGCCGCGGCCCGGTATCGGCATCACAAAATGATCCGCGGCCCGGTACCGGCATCAGCACGCATGACAAGGCAAGGCGAGCCGAGTGACCGGCCAGCCAGCCGTCCCCCGCTTCTCCCCGCCACCTTCAACTCCTCCTTTGTACCTTTGTCGATGGGCTTCGCTTCGGGACGGCTTCGGGACGGTCGCTCGGCTCGCCTTGCCTTGGGTGCTGAAAGAATCCTCGCGCCTTAGTTTCGTTCGAAGCCCCCCCCCCTCGATGAAACTAAGGCGCAAGGATTCCTTCAGGACCCAAACACTGCTTTCCAACCGGAAAAGCTCACCCAGAAGCACTTTCTCGTCAAACAAGATGGTGGCGCCCAGCAAACTGGCGGCCCAGTAGGAAATGTTCCACGGACCAGTACCAGTCTGCGGCCCGGTGGTTGGAGACCCCTGTTGTAAAGTGCACAAACTAACAGGAGTTCTGTCATGTTGGCCCATATATAACACAATAACAGGATACGGCAAACCTTCGCCAGTAGAAGGGTAGGGCCAGTTCGCCAGTCTAGCTTGCCTAAGCATCAAAGCCCGCTGACGGTTCCTCTCAATCTTTGCCTTCATGGTCTCGGAGACTTTGCTTTTTTCTCCTTGGGCAGCACTTGGATCCATGGCCAGATTCAGAATCACTCATCTAAAAATGGAAAGAGGGTAGACAGAGGTAACTGAAGAATTTTTTAAAAGAAAAATAGCCAAAGGACTATTAAATACCAATTTGAGCATATTTAATAAAACGTGGGGTGAGGTGGGATGGCATTAATAGAAAGAGTGCAGAGAAGAGCAACAAAAGATTATTAGGCTAAAACATATAAAGAACAGTTGCTGGAACTAGGTATGTCTAGTTCAATGATAAGAAGGACTAGCAGTGTTTCAACATCTCAGGGGTTGCCACAAAGAAGACGGAGTCAATCTATTCTCCAAAGCACCTGAAGACAAAACAAGAAGCAATGGATGGAAACTAATCGAGAGAAGCAACCTAGAAGTAAGAAGAAATTTCCTGACAGTTAGAACAATTAATCAGTAGAACAATTTTCCTCCAGAAGTTGTGAATGCTCCAACACTGGAAGTTTTTAAGAAGAGACTGGACAACTATTTGTCTGGAATGGTATAGGGTTTCCTGCCTAAGCAGGAGGTTGGACTTGAAGACCTCCAAGTCTATTCCCATTCCATTCTATTCTTGGATGGCTGCTTTATTGGAAGTCGAAACCCACCCACCTCCTCAATCCATTTTGCAACACTGCCAAGAAAAGTTCTCGTATCAAATGACCTAAGCACCAGAGCTCACTGTTACAGCATTGCCAAAAAGGCATTAAGAGTTGTAAATCTAATCTTACGAAGCTTCTCCTCCGGAAATATCAAATTGCTAACTAGAGCATACAAAACTTTTGCTAGACCAATATTCCAATATAGCTCTTCAGTCTGGAATCCGCACTGTATATCGGACATTAATACAATTGAGCGAGTCCAGAAGTATTTCATGAGAAGAGTACTACACTCCTGCTCGCAACAGAATACCCTACACCACCAGGCTTGAGATTTTGGGCTTGGACAACCTTGAACTACGCCTTCGGTCCGATCTAAGTATAATATATAAAATCATACATTGCAATGTCCTACCTTGTCAGTGAATACTTCAGCTTCAACCATAATAACACAGGAGCAAACAATAGATACAAACTCAAGGTTAATTGCACCAAACTTGATTGCAGGAAATACGACTTCAGCAACAGAGTGGTCAATGTCTGGAATACTCTACCTGACTCTGTGGTTTCTTCCCCAAACCCCAAAAACTTTAACCTTAGACTGTCTACTATTGACCTCATCCCTTTCCTAAGAGGTCTGTAGGGGGCGTGCATAAGCTCACCAATGTGCCTACCGTCCCTGTCCTATTGTTTCTTTTTTCTTTTTTTTTATTTTTCTTATATGTATCCATGTATTCATAACTATGTTTTTACTTATACCTATTATCTTGTAAGCAATTGACAAAAATAAATAAAAAAAATAAACAACAATACAAGGTCACACAACAGATACAAACTCAATGTAAACCGCTTCAAACTCAATTGCAGAAAGTACGACTTCAGCAAGAATGGTCAATGCCTGGAATACACTACCTGACTCTGTAGTTACATCCTCAGTCTACCCCCCACTCCTTTAACCTCAAACTAACTACTACTGACCTCACCCCATTCCTAAGAGGTCTGTAAGGGGCGTGCATAAGTGCACCATCTACCCTCCCTGCCTACTGCCTACCGTCCCTGTCCTATTGTCCCCATTTATTCGTACCTATTTCCTGTATTCTTACTCATGTTTATGCTTATACCTATTATCTTGTAAGCGATTGACAAATCAAATCAAATAAAAATAAATAAATAAATAAATAAAACCTGCAGAGAAGTGGGCTTCAGTGCACAAACGTTTGTGCCCAATCAATCTCTCGAGATTTGGAAATGTCACAGCCCTTTGTCATTTTTCCCTGCTGGCATCAGCAAGGGAGATTTAGCAACTCGCCCTCCCCGCAAAGATTAGCCTGTCAAACAGGGTGTCAGATTGAAAGCAGGGACAGAAATGGGTTCCCACTCGGCACAACCCTCCTCTGACCACCATCGCCAGTTATTCACGCCACGGGGCTTCCTGTCCCACGTAAGTTTGGACTTCCCTTCGCGGGTCCCGCCTTGGAAAAGCAAGAAAATCCGAGAAGACCCTCCGACGGCACGAACACCGGCTAAGCTACACGACTTACAGTACTTACAGGCAGCAGAGTTGGCTTCTTGAACAGAGTGCGCATGCGCTGGTAAAGGCATCCTCTCACCCACTCACAGACCGAAGTGCAATGAGGCGGTTTTGACCATAGACTTAAAAATGAAGCAAAAGGCAATCCTTCCGTAAGTAGGGAGATTTACAATGGTTTTTCAAGGAGACAGGAAGATTTTTTTTTTAAAAAAAAATATTCTCCATTTTTAAACCTGGTCCTGGTCAATTATCTTTATAGTGTGCTATATGAAGTCGGGATGAGAAAGTTAACTTTGGTGTTGTGTGATCTCAAATGCAAATCGTAGCTGCGCTAAGCTGGTACAACTGATTCAGGTTGTAACCAAGATCAAAGCCAATCTCTTTCGGTCTCAATAGAAGACACTTTCGGCGCGGACTTATATGCACGTCTTCAAAAACTGAGGCAATTGCAAGTTTGCAAAAAACGAAGTATGATTTCGAAAGAGCAAGAACTCCAAATTTGCCGCTGTACAATATGTGTTTGCCGGCGAGCCGCCTGGACTGCTGGGAATTGTAGTTCGGCCACATCAGGTGTATAAATTGCCCAACCCAGAAACTAAAGCAAGCAAGTGGGGATTTTGACAACCAACAGTAGAGTGCGCTGAAACCTTTGCAAATTAATACCTTCTGCTTTTATCCGAATTGCTTAGTTGGCATAAGTGTACAGAGTTATGGTGGTATAAACATTACAGAAATATAACCTTCAAGTGTTTTGATTTTATTTTAAAACTGAAATAATTAATTGCATGTTATCAAGTCCAATAGATCCACACACACACACACACACAACTCTGGATTTTCAGATCTTCCAACAGTACACCCATGGCACTGTAACTGGGTCCTTCCAGCTCCTCAATGATCCTTTTCTCTTTCCTTCCACCTTTCCCAGCGTTACAGTCTTTCTCAGAAAGTTCAGTCTTGCCACTATGGGTTCAAATGAGGGTTGTTTGAGAGCAGTCATTGGTGGCTGGAGTGAGAATTCTGAATAGATTTGTTTGATGATCGTCCCAAAGGTGTTTTTTCAAGAGGCAACTGGACTTTCTGGTTTTTCTTTGAAGACGTTTCGCTTCTCCTCCAAGAAGCCTCTCTTCTTGGATGAGAAGCAAAATGTCTTCAAAGGAAAACCAGAAAGTCCTGTTGCCTCTTGAAAAAGCACTTTTGGGACAACCATGACTTGGATGTCTGAGAATCTCTATAGACAATTGTTTGATGATCCATTTCCTGGTTTTCTTGGCCATCCATAAGATTCTCTTCTCCCATACCAAAATTCAAAAGCATCAATACTCTTCCTGTCCTGTTTCTTCAAAGTCAAGTTTCACTTCAACAGTGTCACAGGGAATACCATGGCTTCCTTAATTGTGATTTTTATGGGTGTAATCACTTCATGGCATCTGGATATTTTCCTAAGGCCTTCATGGCTACCCTGTTGAGGTCTAGTCTGTAGGGTTATTTCTTGACTGCTTGTTCTTTTACTGTGCTGTTGGTGGCCTATCCCAAAAGGCGGAAGCTGTTTGCCATTTCAGTATACTCCGTGTCAGTTCTAAGGTTGGTTGTACTTCTGTTCATAAGTTTGGTCTTGGAGAGGCATGTGAGTGGCTCTACCCACCCAACTCTCAATAGCCCACGTGCTAGCTGAATAGGGAGGGGCACAGAAGTCATTATGGAGAGCAGCACTTCTCACAATGACAGACATTGAAATGCCATCAGGGATTTGTGTTTTGGGAAGAGTAATAACTTATTTCTAACCAGCACCATCTGATTGACAGTTCTCTGCACTTAGCTACTCACCAGAAGAACTGCAAACTGGGGATTAAAACTTCCAAACAAGAAAACATGCCTGCCTCAAGACCATCACAGTGGTCTGGTAGAATTAGAGACAGGAAACAGCCTCAAAAGTCTCTACTGTATATTTTACTGGGGAATGAGAAGTCTTGGACCACAGAAATTCATATGAAGAGTGTTTGAAAATTAGTCCTGCAGATTGCAACAAATCCTATTTCAGCTAAATATGTCATTTATAGAAGCTCAGTGAGTGATTTTGGTCAGTTGTTCTTTCTTGGATCAACTTACCTGACAGGATAGTTGTTGTAGGAGAAAATAGCAACAGAAGCTCTGTGTGTGTTACTTTGAGCGTCTGTAAAAAAATGTGGGCTATAAAGTTAATAAGTACATGAATTTTCCAAATACATTTCTGAGATGGTGTGTTCAGTATGAGGCTTGTGGACAGTCCTTGCATGTACCACTAGTGAGAAGGTTTATTGATTAGAGAAAATGATTGATAAAATATATGGGCACAAATTGTTGTACAGAATGTATATTTCAAGGCTTGTTGCTGAATATGATAAGTGTGGAGTCAAATAAATAAATGGCAAAGTTAGGAAATGGTTCAGCACTGATCAGGGAGAAAAGCAGGGATGTATAATATCCCTGAGATTCTTTAATACACTTATGGGTAAATATGTAAAGCACACTTATGGTAACACTAAAGGTCTGTTGGATAAGAACATAAATGTGCATGTGTCTTTCCTATATGCAGATGGTGCCATTTCATTGTTTCAGAACTTGATTTGCAGAAAATATTAGACAGATTGTATGATACAATATGAAGTATAGATTTGAAAACTAATATGTCAAAGACAAAGTAATTGCATGTAGTATGGAAAGTGGGATGAACATTAACATATTATATACAAATGGCAATAGATAGATAGTTAATAGATAGATGAATTTGCGATACGTTGATTGAAAGTTAATTAAAAATGGAAAATAAATGGAAAATATTTTGGAATGTAAATGCTGGTAGAAAGAGAGTGGTCTATTGTTGGTTAAAAGAAGTCAAAATGCCTGTTTGTAATAGCTTGC